TTCACCATTCGGGCTTTTTTTCAATTACTTCTGTGGGTAGGTTCGCCAAATTTCACAGATACACAGCTAAAGGTACTAGCCTCCAAATGGTATAGTAGCCCGCTTCCCTATCCCCTTTGCTTTTCTGCCATTCCTCTATATGTCTCGGCACTTTTGAATGGGATGACCTAATAGTCAACATCGCAATCATTGGGGCGGGGTTAGGAGGGGGGGGTCTACCTATGGCTGCCTTGCTGTAAAAATGGTGATCGGCTAGCGATCGTTTCTGGAAGAAAACAACCGACGAGGTCAGTCTATCCTTCTACAAATCGGCCCGACTGACTACGATGATACCAGCTGTAGACTGGATGAAAGATGGGCAAGCTCATGAGCCTTCCTCATTGATGGCCCCTTTTACCTACCGTATTACACGGACAGCGGACAACTGAGCAAGACAGAGCGTCAAATTAGTGTTGTACTTGAGCCGACTAAGATTCTTAACATTTATTAGGTCAACGTTTCGAGTTCCTCGCTTTCGTCAGAGCCTGAAAGAGTCCGAAACAGATGTGATTTGCCCCCCCCCCAATGCCTCAACAAAAACTGAAGAGCATGTTGAGAAACTGGTAAAAAATCCAACGGTATCGGTCAGTAGAGATAGCTCGACTCACCTTGACCTTCGCCGCGGAGACGCGGGATCGACCACCCAAGTTGGAGTAATGCTTCAAATGGAGAACTCCCCCTCTATCCCTCGACCCCCATTTGGATTCAAAATCCATAAAGGTCGGAGAAAGGCGCGAGTTCACGGGTAATGACCACACACTCCTCTTTTCTATTCATTTTGAGGTCTCTAGCCGGAATATCGATGGTCATCACCCGCGCACTTCTCCGACCTTTGTGGATTTCGATCCAAAGGGGGTCGAGGGATAGAGGGGGAGTTCTCACTCGAAGTATTACTACAACTTGGGTGGTCGATCTCGCGCATCTGCGGCGGAGCTCAAAGGTAAGCCGAGGCATCTTTACTGACGCGATACGCTGATTGTTAACCATTTTCTCAGAAGTGGTCTCCAGTTTTTGTTAAGGCGTTTGGGAGGGCGAATGACATCTGTTCCGGACACTTTCAGGCTCCGACGAAATCGAGGAAGCCGAAACGTTGGCCTAATAAATGTTAACAATCTCGGTCGGCTCAAGTACTGTACTAATTTGACGTCACAACCACCCCAAAAAAGAGAAAGTCGGTCCTGGAAGGTTCTACAAGACAGAACGATTATCTTCGCACCCTCACCCACCGGATCACCACTGACTGTGCCATCATGAGTTTCATAAATGACGCTGTCACAAAATTGAGAAGGCTTGTTTTGCGCTAGAACTTTACTCAAAATAGCGCCCACCTTACCTTTCCTCAAGTTCGATGATTGCCCAATCGTGACCATCACGACATCCGTTCAGCACGAAATTTTCATCCATCAAAACACTGCGGATCTGAGATGTTTCCAAGATTTGAGGTGCTATCCGCATTATCACTTTCTTCCACTTCCCAATAACATCTACTAAACACACTGCAAATAGATACAGGCGATTGCTTAGAATCCAAGAACTACTCGTTTTTTTTCGCAAAATTAGACACCCTTCTTAATGTACGTATTTCGATGGTATCTTCCGCAGATGATTTGGGTTACAGTGCAGTGCCAATGCTGCTAATATTCCTCAGCGAAAAAAACCCAAGACGGAGGAGCAATACTGACTTATTAACCGGGAAATTTACAAAACAATGAATGCGTGAAACAGACATGAAAATGCTTTTTTTATGGGGGGGAAGGGGGGTGGCGTAGGGTGTGGTGGGGGGTGTGGTTCACTCATTACGTGGAAAATTTCAAGTTCTAGCGGTTCGTAGGGATCAGATGACACAGGCAACGGAAGGAATAACCGAAGATTCACTTTCCCTCACTTTTCCTTAATTCTAACTTGCCTATAGATATGCACTCCCCTTTCCCTGCCAGTGCCAATGGTATTGGTGAACGATAGCGAGTCCTACCGCAGCTGAGAGGACAGTTAAAGCGCGCATGTCCACGGTGTACAGCTGATTTCGTCAATCACTTGGAAGAGTTTCAAGAAGGATGGAATGAGCTCATCGGCGACAGTTCCGCCGCTGGTGTTTTTTTTGAATCGATCATTAAACGATCAGCACAACAAGGCAGACGTGGGCGAGCTCCTTCCAGATCTTCTGACTGCGCCCCGACTGATTGCGACTTTACCAGCTATAATGTACCCGACCTTTTAGTTCTTCTAATGTACCCGACCTTTTAGTTCTTCGCTGACTGTTTCCCAACGCAAAGATAAGTCGCTAATGAACTTTTCTGACTCACCCTGTTGTACGTTACATCCGGCTCAGTACAGTTTGGATGGTTCGGAAAATATTTACTGTGTCCACGTATACATTTGCCGCCGTAAGCCACCAATCTCGACTGTACCTCTTCGTGTGTACGGTAGATCGCTGCCCTTTAGAAAGTAATATTTTTGCTGCATTCTATCCGGGCGTGATCCGTCTAACTAACGAAGCACTAGAGTGAAGCGGGGTTTCGTGCAGTGAACATTTTTGACTACATATTTTGTACTCCAACTGAACTGAAGTCAACTCCATGATTCAACGCTCCGCTACACTTCTTCGATGAAATCTCAAGTGAGTTCCAGGGCTAATGCCGTTCGGACGCGCTGACTTTTGCCTGCGAGCTCATTTCTACCACGTTCCGGACCGCGTGACACACATGGTGTGTCATACTTTTTTCTCTCTGAGCCTTTCATACGGTCTATTTGGCATCTTATTCATGCTCCGAAATTATCAGAACACGTTTTTAGGTACAGAATACACATATCCTATAGAAGAGCGAAAGAAACAGATAAAATTGCTGATTATCGGTTTGAAAAGCGACGATCATGCAGAAATCCTCGAACAGCGGCGATCCGGAATGTTAAAGTACCTAGATCACTAAATTCGCTGAAAACTTGTATATAAGGGTAATCTAACATCCTGTTCATAAATATGACATTCATTCCTGGCGCTGGGCGCTGGAGGACATCACGAAGTACCAGCGCAAAATGATTGTCATAGTCCTAACTAGTATCTTAGATTACCTCTATATACAAGTTTTCAGCGATTTGGTGATTTTGGCACTTTAAAGGCAGCGCCCACGCCTACGCCCTTTCTGGGTATCATAGCCCTCCCCATAAGGATGCAGTATGTACTAGTTTTGCATCTCACAAAGGCGAGAGGATAGCGCCTATCGCTAGTAAAGAGTCGACCACCCGACCCACG